TAAAGTCTCCACTATTATTGCGTGGGAGTCTAAGTCTCTTTATAAGTCATTAAGAACTTGCCTTATGTATCTGGGTGCTCCTGTATTGGGTGCGTATATATTTAGGATCGTTAGCTTTCTTGTTGCATTGATCCTTTTAATAATCATAACATTAATTTGAGCATAAAGATCTTCTTATGACTTGCAAGAAAGAGGGAATTTAGTTACTGCTACTGCTACTACAAGAGCTAGCATTTATCAAGCTCTGCACCAGGCTCTGTGCTCAGCCCTTCACACACATTTTCTTCATTGATTTTGACAACAAGCCTGTGAAGTGGGTACTATTTCCCCATTTTACAGATGGAAAACCTGGGATCAGAGATTTTGAATAATTTGCATTATTTGGTTAAAAACACTTGCTTTCTATTCAGACAGACATGAGTTCAAACAACTCTGGCATTTGCCAGTTGCATGGCTTCTGTGGTACCAATTTTTGTCCCAGGACCTGAGATTCCTCATCTAAAAAGGGAGAAAATAATACTTAATTATACGAAGGAGGAGTCAGTGAGGAAAACCTCTTTCTCTTTTACAAATATATACATAATAAAATTACAAATTATAACTGAGTATATTATTAGACATATTGCATACACATATACATATACCTTTGCTCAGTGCCCAAGATAAAGTAAGTGCTATGTCAATAGTAGCTCCTTTTTCTATTTTTTTGCTCAAGGTCTCCAAGCTTTTAAGCAATTAAAACACATTCATTTATAGATCTAGTGTAGAGCCCATGTTCTCACACACTTTAGACTCAGCCCCAGAAACAAGCTATTTCCCTGGGCACAGTGGGTGAGTCACAGAGCATCTTCTCTAGGAGTGAGGATGCCACATGACCAAACCAGGCAGGCTGGGCTGGCTGTCCATCTCAGTGGTCTACCCCCAGGCCAGGGCTCAATGTCTCGCTTAGCAATCTGCCTGCACATGGCCTGATGGCTGTAGCCTGGGATGCCACCAATATCATTTATAATGCCAGAGGCGCTGTCTATGGGAACAGAGCCCCTCCCAACACATCCTAGTGGTTAGGGCAGCATCCGCCAGCAGTGTGATGGTTCAAGTCTCCCTAACTGACCAGCAGCCCATGCATGGTGGCTCTAGGGGCACATTTCTCTTCTGCTGTTCTACCCAAGTGTTAAAAATTAATTTAACTCTGATCGCACTGACAGGGGAAAAGTTAATAGAAGTTTTATTTTTAATATATGGGGAACCTTAACAGGATTTAAGCTTAATGCCTCAGAAATGGGAAGGACCGCTGACGATTTATCTACCCGAATCTGCAGACTTTAGAGGGGAGCTAAAGAAATGGAAGAAGTATTATTCCAGCAGCTAGAGGCGAGATTGAAATGCCCCCCACAGCAATTGGGAGAAATGCCAACAGTCTGCCAACCTCAGAAATTGATTCATAAATTGTCCAAATCCTCAGTTTCCCCTTATTGCCCTGACCTCCAGTTTTCTTGACTATCCAGAAAATATATCATTTCAATTTTTTAAAGACATAATAGTGCTTGTCACTTAGAATCATAGAATTTTAGAGCTGATTTCTTCCAGCTATAATAATTTATGATACTAAGAGATGTGGAGGGAAACTTTATAACAGAAAATTGTGCTGCAACATGGGCCATACATTTTGTTTTAGACATGGCTCTAGGCTGTTTTCAAAAGCTACTAACTTAAAAAAAAAAATCTCTCATGCAAAACATTCTTCAGTACACTTAGGCTGAATGGCCTGAACTGTTCATTTTGAGATGATATTTCACTAAGGAGGCCAGTCAACTACTTTTACTTAGGAGATTTATTAGGCACTGACTAAGTGTCAGGCATTGTTGCAGACATTCAAGGATGCAGCAGCAAATAAAACAGTCAAACATCTTTGCCTTTATGGAACTTGCATTGTAGTGAGGGGACACAAAAATATCGACAAAATAAATAATAAGTTACTTATCATGTTAGAAGGTGATGCGTGCCATAAGAAAAGCAAGGAAGGAGTGGAGGCTATGGAAAGAGTCCACTTTAAATAGTCTGGCCAGGAAGGCCCTTCGCTCAAATAACATTGAGTAAAGACTTGAGGGAGGTGAGGGAGCAAGTCTGTGACCCTCCGAAGCAAGAGCATCCCAGGCAGAGGGACCTGGAGGTGCATAAACTTGCCTGGCATATTCAGGAATCATCAGGAAAGCTAGTGTGGCTGGACTAGGGTGAGCACAGGTGAGCTGGTGGGCCCAGGGAAGACGCAATCAGGCAGGTACAACAAGCCTTAGAGCCGCCACATAGGTCAGATGACCACACATCTTGATTGCCGAGGACAATCCTGAATTAGTTCTGTTCTGTTGTCCTGGAAGAATTATTAATAGTGCCCCTGTTCACTCTCAAAGCGCCCCAGTTCGGTTGATAAATTATTATGGTCCCTCCACATGCAGGTCACCAGCAGGGCTTTGGCATTTACTCTGAGCAAGATGGAAACCACGGGAGTTGGAACAGTGACAGGACTTAACTCTCATCCTCAAGGATCTACTCTGGTTGCCCTGTTCAGGAAGGCCTGACAAGGAGCCCAGGTAGGAGTAGGGGAATTATCTCCAAGATCTTTGCCAGACTCACGTCGTGGTCTCTCTCCCTCAAATGTCTCCCATTTTGTCTGCTGGTAAACTTCAAACAATCCTGCTGGCTTCTCAGGGTCTCATTCAAATGTCTCCTCCTTCTGAAGTCTTCCTTGACCCAATCCCACAGTCCCAAATCCTCACAAAATTAGAGTGCCTTGACTGATGTGTTTTGCATTTGGTTGTCAAATCTGTTATGTTTACACATTGTATTTAGTTATTACCAGGATGCCTGTCCCTACTGCTAGACAGTGAGGATCTTTCTTTTGAAAGGGGAAATTCCTATTTTATTGAGGCCCTATAATAAGCTAGATGCTTTGTAAGGTTTTCATTTTTCATTTAAAGTACACGTTAATTATAAGGAATATTGTTTTGGCCTTGTTCTGATTATCAGTATAACACACCACCCCAAAATTTAGTGGCATAAAATAACAGTCATTCTATTATGCCCACGGATTCCATGGGTGAGGAGTTGGAACAACGCAGAGCAGATGTAACTAGCTGGTCTCTGGGTGGTAGAATGGCTGGAGGCTCGGGTCTCTAGGGGACTTGAGGATCTGTTTCCAAGATGGCTTCTTCATGCACGTGTCTTGCCCACTGCTGGCATAACTCACAGGCTGGGATTATCAGCATGAGTGTGACCTCTCCAGCGTGGTGGCTTATGTGGTGGCTCAGTATTCCTGAGAACAAGGAAGAAGCTTCATGGTCTTCATGATGTAGCCTCAGAAAACACATAACATCACTTCCTCCATCCTCTATTGGTTGAGGCAATCACAAGCTGCTCAGATTCAAGAGGGGATGTAGACCCCACCTATCAATGTGAGGAGCAGAAAAGAACATGTGGCCATACTTAAATCTGTCCCTGTTCCCACCTTGCAGATGAAGAAACCAAGGCTCAGAGAGTATAGGATACTTGTTGAAAATCATGCAGCTAAAATACAGTGGAACCAGGCCGGGCACGGTGGCTCATGCCTGTAATCCCAGCAATGTGGGAGGCCAAGGTATGTGGATCACCTGATGTCAGGAGTTTGAGACCAGCCTGGCCAGCATGGTGAAACCCCATCTCTACTAAAAATACAAAAATTAGCCAGGCATGGTGTTGCATGCCTGTAATCCCAGCTGCTTGGGAGGCTGAGGCAGGAGAATTGCTTGAACCCAGGAGACGGAGGTTGTAGTGAGCTGAGATTGCGTCACTGCACTCCAACCTGAGTGACAGAGTGAGACTTTGTCTTAAATAAGTAAGATGCAATGAAAGCAATATTGAGAGGGCTCTGCTGGACTGCAGACCACATGCTCTTTTTGTCTTTGAATACCTGTTGTGGGGAAGAGAGAATGTCTTAGTTCTACCACTCTATGTTTAGCAGAGTTTGGCACACTGTGAATGAATGGATGAACGAATGCAGCATGGCCAGCAGCTCTTGAGCATGCTCTGACCTGTGCCTGTAATCTGAATGAATGATTCTAACAATAAGGATTTTGGCCCGGCGTGGCGGCTCACGCCTGTAATCCCAGCACTTTGGGAGGCCGAGGCGGGTGGATCACGAGGTCAAGAGATCAAGACCATCCTGGTCAACATGGTGAAACCCCATCTCTACTAAAAATACAAAAAATTAGCTGGGCATGGTGGCGCATGCCTGTAATCCCAGCTACTCAGGAGGCTGAGGCAGGAGAATTGCCTGAACCCAGGAGGCAGAGGTTGCGGTGAGCCGAGATCGCGCCATTGCACTCCAGCCTGGGTAACAAGAGCAAAACTCCGTCTCAAAAAAAAAAAAATTCACACACTGTGGCAAGAAGCACAGAAGACATTTAGGAGGATGGGGAGATGTTTTGGATACAGCTCTGTCTACTCAAACCCTTTTAACAACCCCAAGAGACAGACAACTAGACCCATTTAGAAGATGGAGAAACTGAGCAACTATGGAGTAGCTACAACAACACTAGGCCTAAGCATATCTTCCTTTCCCTGTGAGGATAGCAGGGTCCATCTCTGGAAAAAAACTCACCCTGTCCACCCCTTTCTCGGCACCTGGTCGACCTTTTTAGAAAGGTGAAATATGGCTAAAATGAAAATGTTTCACCCTTGATTTAAAAAAACAAAAACAGCTGGGCACAGAGGCTCATGCCTGTAACGCCTGTACTTTAAGAGGCCAAGGCAGGAGGCTCACTTGAAGCCAGAAATTTGAGACCAGCCTTGGCAACAGAGCGAGACCTAATGTCTAAAAAGTATTTTAAAAATCAGCTGGGTGTGGTGATCCATACCTGTAGTCCCAGCCACTTGGGAGGCTGAGGTAGGAGGATCACTCGAGTCCGGGAGCCTAGAAGTTTGAGGCTGTAGTAAGCTATAATCATGCCACAGCACTCCAGCCTGGATGACAGAGACACTCTGTCTCTGAAAAACAATAATAATACAATAATAAATAAATAAGTAATGTTTAAAAACCAAAAAACTGCAAGTTAGGAACCTAAGCTCACATCGTGGCCCTCTGCAGAAACCTGTGTGTCCCCAGACGGCTCCCCTCCTCTCTCCCGGCCTCATGTTTGTGATCTAGTCCTGGTGGTCCGTGACTCAGTGGCTACCCTTCCACAGCTAACTTTCTGTGGCTGCAGGGGACAGATCATAAACTTCTCTTTCCCTCAGCCCTCACACCTGGCTCAACAGCAAGTCTGGATCAACTTTATTTCCACAATATGTCACCAATCATCTGGGTAAGGCATTAGTGAGAGCTTTTGGCCTATTATTGCAACTTTTCCATAAGTGTAGTTTTCATCCTTTTCTTAGTCTTTCTAGATTCTCCATACAGAAGGCAGGGTGGTCTTCGGTGTTTGCTTTTGTTCTGGTAAGAGATACGTAACAAAATATACCATTTTAACAATTTGAAGTGTCGAATTCACTGGCATTAAGTACATTCACACTGTTGTCCCACCGTGACCACTGTCCATCTCCAGAACTCTTCCTTCATGCTGGCTGCATCGCTGCACCCGTTACACGGTAACTCCTGCTGTCCCGTATGACTGGCTTATCTCACTCCACATGATGACTTCACGGTGCATCTGTGGTATAGCATGTGTCAGAATCTCCTTCTTTTCTAAGACTGAATAGTATGCTATGGTATATATATGCCACATTTTGTTTATCCATTTATCTCTCAATGGACATTTGAGCTTTTCCCACCTTTTGGCTATTGTGAATCATGCTGTTACAAACAGTGATGTTCGGGGTCATCTTTTACAAATACAAATCAGATCCTGTCACTCTTCACTCCCTTACAGCTCTCCCGGGCTTCACAGTCTAAACTCCTTTTACTCATCCACTAGGCCTTACAGGTCCCCGCTTCTCTCACCTTTGTCCCCCCACCCCCAGCTTCCCAGGCTCCAGCCATGGCAGCCTCTGCCCAGCCCTCACACACCCCAAGCATGGCCTGGGAGGGCCTTTGCACCGACTCTTCCCCAGGCCTGAGCATGGCCAGCTCCTTCTCCCCATCCAGGTCTCTGCTGAAATACCTCCTCCTCTGACAGCCTTCCCCGCCCACCTGCACTGCAGCAGCCCCCAGTGCCCATGCAGTCCCAAACGCTGTTCCCAGTGTTTATCTTCTTTGTAAAAGTTACAGCCCTGATATCCTGTCACATCACTATTGTGTGTTGTCTTTTGCCCCACTAGACTTTCGAGCAGGGCACTTTGTTCACTGCTGAGCCTCAGGGCCCAGAACAGTGCCTGCACACAGAAGGCACTCCCAACGCCTGTGGGATGCATTAGGTCTGAATATCTGATTTGGCCATCCAGAGTGAAAGTGTGGCAGTGTAGAGGAGTCCCAGGACCTCAAAGGGAGCAGACAGAAGGGAGACACCAATGCACGACACTGAGCCCCATTACATGCTCACCTCAGTTGCTGACTTCCGCTTCCTCTTTTTCGGCTGCTGCATTAGCTGCCTCTGAGTGGGAGCCTGGGACAGAGAAAAATGCGGCGTGGAATGGCATGGCACACCTGACATAATATCCAAAGCACATGTCCACTCTCAGCGTGTCAGGCTCTGTGTTCCCAGAGAGCTCAGAGATGACAGGTGAGACCTGGGCTGGGTACAACCACAGCAATTCTTTATAGAAGTACACCCAAGTCACTGAACCATGTAACATATAAGGAGAGAACCCATTGGTCTATGTCTGTCCGACGTTCAAAATGCTAAGTCATTTTTCAGGCTTGGCTTGATTTCTCTTTCATCAATAAGAGCTACAATCCTGCCAAGCTGGGAGCAGATAGCTCTACCTGCTGCTGAGATAGGCGGCAGAGGGAATCCATAAAGGGCTGAGGGAATACCAGCCGCCAGGCTACATTCAGCAGGGTCTACGTCTGTGCCTCTGGGATGGTGTGTCCAAAAGCATCTCCCCCATCCTACTGCCACAGTGTCAAAATCCCCCATTGGAGAAATGTAACTGAGGCTTCTCCTGTGAGAAGCCACGTGGCATGGCAGAGCAGCAGACTGGAGGCTGGGCAGCCTGGCTTCTAGATCACCCCTCTTACCAACTAGGTGCCTTAAGCAGGCTGTAAATCTCTTTGGGCCTCAGTTTCCTCAAGTGCAAAGGCAGGCAATTGGGCCAAATAATCTATAAGGCCCTTTTAGCTTGGAAATTCTGAGCTCTTGAGTTCTTTGGTCAGATGAAACAAAAGGTTGCAATGAGAGGAGAGAATCACAAACTACCTTCATCCCCTTCACAGTCTGCCTTCCACCAGCTTGTAGTGGGGTCGTATAATCCAGACTTCAAGCTAAGGGTGAATGTATCTGTATGGGAAAAAAAGAACAAGGGAGGAAATTACTCCCCTTCCCCTAAAATTAGCAGTTAACAACATGTGGGATGCCACAGATACATGGAAACAACTTAACTGTGCTTTCAGACTCCCATGCTGCAGATGGTTTCTCAGGACCCCCTAGATTTTTATGGGCCCTTTTAGGAAGAGCGACTACCCCTAACTGCTGTATCCCACACAACCCACCTGGTCAAAGTCCATGTTTCTATGAAGGAAGACTTCATTCATTCACTCATCAAACAGAATGTGCTGAGCACTTACTTAGTGCCAGGCACTCTAGCTACAGAGATAGAATGTACAGTCCTTGTTCTCCCGGAGCTCATTGTCCAGAAGGCAAGTAAACAGGGTGAAAGGCCTGTTTACATAACAGTGATACATGTGATACATGTTATGAGCTATGAGCTGTCTCACAAGCCACTCTGGGAGCCCAGAGCAGAGAGCTTAACCCAGCATTGGGAGAGGTCCTCAGCTATCAGGGAGATCTCCCTAGAGAAGGTGGTCCCTGAGCTAGGTCTTAGAGGATTCTACCTAAATATCTCCATTTTTGTCATTGCTAAAGTTAAACTCAGCTCACAGTTGCAAGGGACTAGGGCTTCAGGAGAGGAGTGAGGATCTGATGGGAAAGGAACAGAGGGAGTGACTGTGAAGCCCCACCTGGGCCCTGCTGAATCCAGAGGCCATGAAACTTTTATGGCCCCAAATGACAAGATTGGAAATAGTTTTCTCTCCATGGTCCCAGATAAGGCAGAGGGTCCATTGATAGAGTGTTGGGACTTTTCCAAAAGATGCAGTAAATGCACGAGAGTGAGGGAGCTGACCCTCCTCCAGGAGAGCAGTTTGAGTGACAGGCCCAAGATCTAAAGCCAGATGGGAGAAGGAAGGGAAGCCAGGCACGGGTGGACTAAGGGAGAAAATAGGCATGGTGGGACAGTGAGCCCACACTGCAGGATGAGCAGGTGTCAAAAGCAAAGCATGATTGAAGTGAAGGTGGCTGAGAGGATGCAGGTGGAGTCCATCTGTGGTTGGGCAGAAAAACTGAGACTTCTGAGTTACAAAGAAGGAAGCCTTGGGGAGGGAGGCTCAAATCTCAAATGAAAAGTGGCAGGATTTTCCCAGCCGTCTTAACTCAGAGGCCTCTCCTGTCTCTTGTGAGAGCAGGAGAAAGAGAAGCTCTTCAAAAATCCAGCCCAGTTGAGGCCCAAGATGCTAACCATCCCATGAGATCCCCATGCTGCTTCTGACCTGTTGGTAAAGTCTCAGCATTTCCTGGTAGCTTCATCTTTCTTGTTTCCCCCTCCACCTTAATCTTTACTAATGCCTTTTCAGAGACAGATGGCAGCCATGAGTATCTAGTCTTCAGGGCTATTCATTTAGCAACTGACCCAGTACCCGCACAAACTGACTCCTAACAGGTCTGCAGAACCGCTGAATATATTCAAGAATCTAGCATGTGCAGAGGAAAAAGAAAAAGAGGAAGAAAAGGGAGAGGAATGAAGGCCCTTAAGACATCCTGTGGGACTAGCCCACCCTTGAGATACTCAGGGCCTGTGGTACCCTGGGAATTTCTATGGGCATGTGTGTGTTTATGTGTATGTTTGTGCACATACATGCGTCTGGTGTGTGCACATGCATGCACGTGTGTTTGTGTATGTGAGAGCAAAGGAGGAGCAGACCATCCTGGGAAGAATGGTTTTTACCAGCTGGTTCTATGGAGGTCTGCAGATGTCATCTAATCAGGCTGCTTGCGCAGATGGCAATTTCCATATAGTGTTTCCTTCCACTCCAAGTGGTCTGTACCGTTGTGGATAAGACAGTTCAGGATCTTTGCCGAATCTCTCATAATCTGTTATCACGTAAATGTGTCAGCAGGTGGCAATACTGGTAGGCTGATACTTGGGTCAGATGCCAGGACCTACAGAAAAATAATCCTCTTAGATTGGAGCCAGGTCTTCCCTGACTCAAGGAAGGACCCAAAGTATGCCCAGGCAGCTTGAGCATTGACTAGCCCACTCTCTGGTGTTGGTGCAGTATCACACCAGGCTGCTTTCTTGGCATGGAGGGAACCAGAACAGCTCAGAGTCACACCCACTCCCTCCCTGTGCTCCCCTGGCTGCCTCTGGAATAGAACAGCTGCAGGCTAAGTCCTAACCACAGGTTTGCTGGTGGACCTCCAGGGGTCACCAAAGTGAATATCAGAAGCCTTGAACCTGGAAACACTGCATCTCACCTGGGAGGGTGGGTGGTTGATTGGCTTCCTCCAGTGGCTTCTACTTGCCTCCACTGCTCCAAAGCTGAGCCAGCACGCCTAGGTCTCCATGTGCTACATATGAGCATTCACCTTGGCCTGGTCTGAGGTGGGTAGAGGAACACAGAGAGCTACCGACCACCAGACTTAGAAGTTACAAAATCCCTGAAGGTGCAGGGCGTGGTGGCTCACGCCTGTAATCCCAGTACTTTGGGAGGCCAAGGCAGGCAGATCACAAGGTCAGGAGACCCAGACCATCCTGGCTAACATGGTGAAACCCTGTCTCTACTAAAAATACCAAAAATTACCCGGCGTTGTAGCACGCACCTGTAGGCCTGGCTACTTGGAAGACTGTGGCAGGAGAATCACTTGAACCCAGATGGTGGAGGTTGCAGTGAGCCGAGATCACACCACAGCACTCCAGCCTGGGTGACAGAGTAAGACTCTGTCTCAAAAATAGATAAATAAATAAAAATTAAAAATAAATTTTAAAAATCCCTGAAGGCTCCTTAGAGCGGGATGTGGGAGGTAAGATAAGGCTACCTACAAGGGCTCAGGGGCTCACCTAATTCAGAGAAGTTGAGTTTGAGGAGAAGGTCACTGGGTGCTGCCACGGCTTCCAAAACCACCTCTGTTCACAGGCAGGGACAGTGAATCCAGGAGTCTATTTTCATTTCCCAGTGGAAAGCAATGAGCAGCATGATAGTGTTAGTAATAATAATAACAGGCAACATTTATTGAGCCCTTTCTACATGCCAAGCAGTGTGTTAAAGGTTTCTCGTGGATTATCTCATTAAATCCTCATAACAATCTGAAGACATAATTGGTCCCATATTACATATGCCGGAATGAAATTTGGTGATATTAACTGAGGAATTTCCTATTGTTGAGCTCCGCACATCTCCCTGACCACACAGAGCCAAGCCCTTCATTGCCTCAGAAGCAACTCTTTGCCTACAAATAGAAAGAATACAAAATCAAGAATAGAAAGCAACTAACAACAACAAGAAAACAGAGACAACACAGAAATCATATTTCCAAATAGGCATTGTAAAAGGCACAGCAGAGGCAACAGTCTTGAGGTCCCTGTGCTTCTGATTCACAAAAGGACCAAGACTTTTTAATTTGCTGTTTCATAGAGAAAATGTAAGTTCCAAAAGTTTGACTTTATTAAGTCAAAAGCAGAAGTGACTGAATGCTAAACATGCTAGCCATAAACAAGGGCTGGGAAGAAGGCAGCAAAATGAATGATGTAAGAACCACGCCTTTCCCTCCTGCCCCCTGCCCACCCTCCAAAAAAGAGCAGGAATAAAACCAGAGGAGGAGGAGTGGAGAGGAGGAGAAGTGAAAACCTTCAGAGAAGCAGGAGGAAGACCAAGAAAGAAGAACAAATTCACTGCTGGTGTGGGGCACTGGGAAGGGACCAGGCCTCTCTCCTCCCCACCCCCTCAGCACCCACTCCTCCCCCGGCTCCATACCACCATTACTTACAGAAGATAGAAACCCAAGTGAAGAGTGAGAGATCCCAGATGAAGAATGCTGGGCTCATGTCCCAGGGGGCAGCATAGGATGGTTTTGAGCGTCTGGAACACAAACACACATGAATATGCATACACACAAGCACATGCATATAACATACCACATATATACATAAACATAACACACATGCCCACACTCATGAACTCATACATGCATGCCCATACATATAACACACACATGCACACAATACACATAAATGCATGCCCATATAAATACGCATACACACATGTACATACACATGAACACACATACACACAACAAAGTCCAAGGCAGCCACACCCCAAGTGCCTCGTGGGGTGGCTGGTCCTGTAGGCTGTCTTAAGGCCATTAATTCTCTCCTTTTCTCAGCTCACCATGGCTTACAGTTCCCTTGCTCTGAGCACCAAGAATGAGATTTTTTTTTTTACATTTTTTTCATTATACAAATAATTTGGGTTCATTGTAAAAAAGTTAGAAAATGTCAATAACAAAAGGAATAATTAAAATATCACCATCCAGAGATGGCTACTCTTAATAATTTGTGTATCTGTACATATCTGTCTATCAATCTATACATATGAGTTGTGTCTTCACAGCAATATAGCTTCCATTTGATTTTTAAAACTATGTCACCCATAGCTACAAGGCAGCCCTTATTTCAGAAATTTCTATCTGGTCCCAGAAAACTAAAAGAAAAAAATAATAGCCATTTTGTGGATGGAACAATGAATCCCTCAGAGGAAGATGTGGCAGAGCCCAGTTTCTGACCCAGGATTTGGTAGAGAGCCAGGTCAGAGCCCAAACTCTGGTTCTGATATAGCAGCTCCCTGAGTATAAGCATCAGGACCTGAATGACTGGGCTGTCATTCTCTTGGCTGCATGCAAACCAAGAGCTTTGTTTGTGTCAAAGTACATGCAATGCCTTCTTGCAAAATGACCTAAATTAGAAACCCTCCTCTTAGGATCAGAAAATTCTGCACTGAGGAGCAGGAGGGGTAAATCCATCCATAAAAAAATGGCAGCCACGATTCTTCAGACCTACATAGTTTGGGATCAATATCCAAACCACAGTCTTAGACAAGAGTGTGAAAAGATTTAAAAAGCCAGACACACAGGAACCATGTGTTTCCCATAATGGCCCAAATGAAATTATATAGTCCAGAACATTTTAAAAGCAAGCAGCTTATTTTGAACAGGGGCACATAGAGGCTGCTGATGTGCACTGTGAAAACTCAATAAAGGGGAACATCTAATGAAAACAGATATAACGTACAACTGCAATCACAAGTCATGCATGAATTATTAACCTCAGGGAGTTTTCTATCAGTTCTGGGGCTATGGATTGCGTCTCTGGTATACAATGTGGGAGATATTGGTTCTCCGTTTCGTAAGAGAGAACTTGAAGCAGGAAACGTACTTATTTCTTCTTTAAATGCATACTGTAATTACCAGTCGGTAGTGACTAAATGTTATTATCCATCTGTTGGCTGCTCCGGGACCCGTAATGAGTAAACCTTAGCAGGTTATGCCATTTTCTGTAGCATAGATGACTGCGGCTTGCACACGCCTGTAAAGTCAACACTTTTTGTGTTGAATGTATTGTTAAAATTTTTCACAGAGAAACCAAGAAATGAAAAAAAAAAATCTTTGAACAGGTTTAACACTTCTGCTCAAAATCTTCTGATGAATTCTCATTGTAGTCAGCACAGAACCTAAATTCCTGTGTTTGGCTTACAAGGCTTTAAATTATCTGGTCCAACTCTCTCCCTAGCTCTGTCTCAGGCTTCTTACTGTCTTACTAACTCTGCCATGTTGATCTTCAAACATCTTCCAAAGCATCAAATTCACTCCCCACTCATGGCCTTCACACACACTTTCCCCTCTCCCTGAGTCATTCCTTTCTCTGTTCCCATACTCTCTTCATGACTTTTTCTTGATCATTTCTTCAGGTCCCAGGTTAAACATCATCTCCCCAGCAAGGCCCTGCAGTGGCCTCCAACAGCATCCTGTTGGTTCTCTCCAAGTTATCAGTTACAATTTAGAGTTGTCTCATTGTGTGGGTTTATAGGCTAGGCCTCTGTCTCTCCCATGGGACAGGACGGAAACTCTGCCTGTATTATTTACCACTGTAATTATAGCAATAAGAATGCTACCCGCCTTTTTGAATGAATGAGTGAATGAACTACGGTATTTGTTATTTCTGGGACGTGGTGTGTGAAGGACAGGTTTGAGTCTGGACCTAACATATTTGTAGGAATCAGGGCCCAGAAAGTTCTGACCATAGGCCAAGGAGTAAGGAACCCAGTGGTGGGCCAGCCACACTTCCTCTACCTGCCATGCATCTGTTTGTGGGTGCACCTCTTTCTTTGCATGCCCCCAAATTCTGTTCAGCTGAGCCAAATCCTTAGACCATCTAAGGCCCCCATTGAGTCTCACATATTCCTTTAAAGGGGTCTTAGATTGCTTGGTCAGGAAATCAAGAAGCTCTTTAAAACCCACCCTCATCTTGCAGGGGTCCTTCCTCTCCTGACCAGCACAGCCATAACTCACAAAGTACCACTTTGTTATATTGTCTCTATCAGATGGCTTGGCTTTGTGTGTTGGTTTTAATTTTCTGATCTGGTTATAAGTATTTTGATTGGAGTCTCTGATTATGGTTTAACTCAAAAGTTGGCTGGGGGCCTCCCTGTTCCAAGAGATCTAGATTTAATGGACACAGACCACCCCCCAAGTCCATGGCCAGATGAAGCCTAAAGCTCTCCCGTAAACATGGTTTTATGAGCCCCTGTGGCTTAAGCATACATCAGTTAGAAATCCAGTCCTCTATCAGATTCCTCTGCAGATCCTACACCCCAAAAAATCAACCCCTAACCAGATCATCTGTAGGAACAGTAAAATTTCCTAAAGGTTTCCAAAGAAGGAAATCACTTCTCAAACTAAGGAGCAATCTCAGAATCTGTCTTTTTGCATTCCCTTTTCTTCTTCCTTCCTTACTAACTCACCATCTTCTTTTCTCATAGACCCTCCCTCCTCTTTCTTCCCAGTCTTTCCTCTTTCTCAGAGCTAAGACAATTCTCCTTGGTTCCAGCAGAGAAATGTAGCGATCATCTACGGAAGCTGAAACACGTACTGGGGCTGTCTTACCCTCTACCCCAGACCCTTAGCAAAGCTATTTAAAAACTTCTTACCCCAGACTACAATCTTACTTCAGTATCCCCCACAGTCACTACCAGAGCTAAGCATATAGAAGATGATGAATAAACACTTGCTAAGCATTGACTGGAAAACCTGATTGAACTGGGGGCCTGGGGTATAATCTAAGTATCACGAGCAGTTAGTAGAGATAGGACATTCTAGGCCAGGATTCATGCCTCTGATCTTCCTGCTGTGCAAGATAAGAGTGCGCTTCTCCAAAACTATAAGGGTAGCGCCATTCAGAGCAGGAAATCCATAGCTCAAATTAAAATAAGATGGCAATAAAGTGACACACAAATATCTAGTTGTAAACGCTGAAGGGACTTAATCAAGCAAAAGGGCACAGCTTTCCATTGCAGCATAATGTAAAGGCATTTTTATTACTCTGGCAATTTGCAAAAAATGTCAAATGACTTTATGGGGCTTTTTCTAAATTACCTTTATTAATGTATGTAATATTATTGAAAAATTATACTACAGAGTAAATGTTCCACTGAGCTACAAGTTGCCTGCAGGAATGTGCTGTAAATATACAAGGGTGAATATGTTACTATCTTTACAACCCATTTCACACGTATTACAGCCTTCTAAAACCAGAATAGCACTGAACATTTGGAAAAGTATTGAAATTTTACAACATGGTATACAATATAGGTAAATTTGTAGAGCCTGGAAATGTATCAACTGTCTTTGAGTGTGATAACCTGTTTCAGAGTTGTCTCAAGACTGTGTTCTCCTAGATCACTTGCACCTCTCTGATATGTTGACATTTGCTTTGAGAAACCCATTCTGGCTGATTTGAATAAATATAGTCTCGGGCAATTGACGAGACTTTTCCTATTTAATATGTTTGAATGCTTGGAAAGAGAAGAGCTAATGGCTGAAGCATGCCAGGGCAAATGCAGGTGGAAGCATTCTCCTCTTTCCTCTGCTTGCTCTGTGTGCATCTGTCTCGACAGAAAACACATCCAGTCATGGTTCAGGGCTTCCAAATGCAACCTCTGTTTGCATGAGTTGGCCTTGAGACCACCTTCTCACTCTCAATGTTCCAATAATGCAGTCAATATAATTTCAGAGCCCTAAAATTCAATATCAGTGCTTTAAGCCATCTCTCTTCTGGTCTTCCACCCTCTCTTCAGGCATGACCCTGGGACCACTTCACTTCCACTCACTTTCATCTTGTTCCTACTTAAGCCCCCTACCACTCTTGTGGTTCGGAGCCAACCTGATGGGGGGTCATCTTGTCATAATTTATGAGACTAGTTTCCGTGTCCTGCTGCCTGCTTTTCACAATGAATTCTATGAATTGGTTGAAAGAGAAGGGGGAAGAGAGAAGGGAAAAAGCTAAAATAAGAAATAATAAGATATAAAATAAAAGAGAAAAATAAGATATAAAAAAAGGAGATAAATGAGGCAAACTAAAATTGACTGCACTGCCTACCAGCTGTATTCTTCAAGAGCCCCTGCTTGGGAGAAGATAAACAGGCAGCCCCTCCACAGATTGAAATCACGGCAGTCCCAGAGACTCCACCGTCATCCAACAGATGCCAGCTTTTCCCCCTCTGTTACCACTGCAGCTAGCTTCGGGTTGGGAAGACTTCCAAATGCAAAATATGTCACGCTTCTACATAACTTTTCAGCTCTGTTTTTTAGTAATTCACACCCTCTTCCTTGCTTATCTAACCCCCACCACCTTGGCTTTTAGATTTTTTAAAGAAGCCTTTCCTCATGTTCTTCTCTCGACAATATGATATAATATTAGGAGCTTTTTAGGTTAAGTCACTGAGAAATAGCTGGTCAGAAATCATCAGCTGGGAAGGCAGAACAGGACATGGTCCTACCCAGGCCAGACTTAGGACTAGGTAGATGAGGTATAGTGATTTCTATAATGTAGCTCGAGGGGCTACCTAGAGCCCACTCACCAACACACACACACACACAGAGCTGTGCTGGTCATGCATGGACCCGACTTCTCCCAATCTCTTGAAAGTGTCTGTATTTTTATATCTGGTAGAATGTTGTCAACGTCTATAATGGATTTGCTTCTCATTTAATATATATTGTATCTGGTATTATTAACAAATATTTAAGTTGGTGCAAAAGCAGGTAAATTTGTAACATGCGTACATGTACATATAAACACACTATATGCATATAATGTGAAATCACTCATCTATTATATTTTTAGTCAAAAATATGTTGTTTTCTATCATGATATCCCTTCTTTTTGCATAATTCCAACAAATGTTCTGAACACATAAAACAGATCAAAACTAGAGTGAAATTACATCTCCAAGACAGAAAAGAAAACCAAAACCCTAATGTGAAGTCATTTGGCAGATCTCCAATTCACTTATTTACCAACCTGTGTTAATGCCAACCACGTGCCAGGCATCATGTTAATTGCTGGGGACAAGAGGATGGTGCAGAGATGAATAAGACATCTGCTCTCACCTTCGCGCTCAGCTGACGACCTGGCTTCTTATTTCTTTGAGAAAAGGAAGCAATCAAAAGAGAAACTGCATCCACTCCCACCTTCCCATCTACAAACCAGCTTGCTTTTATGGCCATATCTCTGCCTTTCCTCTAGTGACTAGGTTTTATCTAAAACCAGTCCCCTTCGTTTGCATATTGGACCTTATCCCTCTCTCTTACTTAAGGACATCAGTCCAGCAGATATCCTCTCTATTAGTATCATCTATTTTCCACTGTTCTTAAATCATTTATGACTTTCACATTTTCAAATCCAATGGTCGGTTCTCAATCCTCAGACTGAAGATCTAATAGGACTAACAGATCTTATTAAATCTATTCTCAACTCTTAACAGAATTGTATTCTCCACCTGAAATATGGTCTTCAGTTGGTATCAATGAATCCACTCTTGGTTCCCCTCTCACCTCCATAGTCGCTCCTTCTCATTCTCCTTTGCTGGGCTCTCCTCATCAATGAAATCTCTAAACGCTGGAGTGCCACAGGGATCAGTCGTCAGATTCTTTCTTTTCTCCTCCTACGCTCACCCCACCCATTTCCATGAATATTCACCAAACTTACATCTCCAGCCCAACTTCTCCCTGAATTCCAGATTCATAAATTCAACGTTCCCCTCAATATGACTTCCTGGAGTTCTAATAGCTATCTCAAATTTTATATGTCCCCAGTTGAACCTTTAATTACTCCCTATTCTAAACCTGATCCTCTGTGATCTTTCCCGTCATAGTTAATGCAATGCCAATCTTCTATTTCCACAGGCCAAAATATCCGGCACCATCTTTAACTTCCTTCTTTCTCTCACCTACTATCAATCCATCAGCAAATCCCACTAATTCTTCTTCGAAAGGGGTCTAGAATCTGACCGTGACATACTTGTGCTTCCACTGCCATCCTGGTCCAAGCCACCATCATGTCTCACCTGCCTTCTAACTGGTCTTTCTACTTCCAACTTGCGCCCCTCCCCAACTCACGAGACCATTCTCCATAAGCAGCCGCGTGATCTTTCAAAACGTAGGTCAGATTATGTCATTCCTCTGCTATAACCCTCCAACACTTTCCCAACGCAGTTCAGTCCTTGTCCTTAAGGAGCTCACAGTCTGAGAAGACAGAAATATAAAAATAGATTACCGAGGCAACATAAAAGTGCAGTGATAGAGTGCTGGCTGTGGGAGTGAAAAGGAGAAGCAATTACCCCAGAATCATGGTGAGAATTATGGAAAACTTCCTGGAAGAGGTGATATCAGAGCCTCAAAATTAAGGAGTTTGTGAGGTAAGGTGTGTGTGGTGTGGTGAAAGTAAGGAACTGCAGGGCAAATGGTGGGAAGGTCACAGTGTTACAGCCCAGCAGGGGGTGCCAGTGAGCAGCCGCGGTGCTGGCCGGCTCCTCTCTCCAGCCGTCTGGAGAATGGCTGGGAGGGCGACAGGCAGGAAGCCGAGCAAGATCAGTTGGAGGACTCATCCCCAATTCAGGCAAGAGGTGATCAATTATCATGCCCAGGGAAGGAATTGTGTTCCCAGGGACAGTCAAAAGCCCATATGTTAACAAAAAAAGGTGGCGCTTCTCTGGTGCTTTTATTCCTTCCAGTGCTCTGCCTCACGCCTGCTCTCTGGAAATGGATGTGCATTACCTCACAGGCTGTCAGAACCTTCCTTAGGAAACCAGCATGTGGATGAATCTTGAAAATGCAATCTGGCCACATCCAGAGCTTTGCATGCTGCTGTTCCTTGGGGCCACACACTGAGACACTTTGCAAGAAAATTTAACAGAAGACAGATGGCAAATGTCATGGGGCCTCACACAACTGAGAAGGCAAAGGAGTAAACCAGAAAATAATGCACTGAGGACTAGAGTTCCTGGAGCAGGCAGAAAAGTAGTTACTTCCCCTCTGTCCCCTGACTGTGAGAAGCAGGTGGGGTGCTAACCTCCTGAAGGAGCAACTGTGGTCTCAGTGACGCAATGGATGGGTTTGATATTTATAAATTGATGGGTGAATTGTCCCATGTTTCTTCATTCTGAATATTCTTTGAGCTTATTACATCAGCTCAGAGTGAACGCTCTAAATTTAGACCCAAACTTTCTCATGTTTCCAAGGGAACTGTAAATTACTTTGTGAATGTACATACAACACAGCCAGCAAAGTCTGTTTGATGAAGCCCTCTCCTGCACTCAGAGTTAAAGGCATCTCATAAATTGTTGCCTTGCCCAAGGTCCTGGACAGTAGCTGACAGCCTCAGACAGATTGTCTTCACTTCTCCGTATGACACTTGTGTAGGAGGCTCTACTGCAAGTACAAAGGACACAGGCCTTCAGCTGTGACATCCCCTAACTCCCCAAAGTCCCATGTTGTTTCTGTGAAGGGTTTCTTGGATGGAGAACAGAGTGAGAGATGCTACGTTGCTTAAGATGAGCTGTCTAACTTGATGGTGCCCAGGCTACCCTCAAAGCATCAAATCCTACTTGATAGTGAAGACAGAAGAGGAAATGATCTAGGAGGGGATAGTGGAGCATGTGAAGTATTTTTTGATGAGGTTATTGAATCATTTAGTGCTGAGTTCAGCTATAATCACAGAGACTGGAGGTATTGGTGGCTTAAACAATGTATAGGAAGTCCAGAGACATCCAGTCCAGGATTAGTATTGTGGACACAGTGTCAGCATGACCCCAGGCTCCTTCTGTCTGCTCTTTACTCCTCAGATTGTGTAGTTTCCTCCTCACATTCACTGCATGGTCCAAGATGGCTTCTGGAGCTCCAACCATCATGCTCATGCTCCAATTAATAGGAAGAAGGAAGTAGAAAGGGCAAAAAGGGTGCAATTATCAGCTGGTCAGCGCCTATATTTCACAGCTGGTCAACTTTCTCAGAGTCCCACATTATAATCAACTTACATCTCATTGGCTCTACCTTGATTACCTGGCCACTCCTAACAGGAAAGACTGGGAAATGCAGTCTTCAAGCTGGATGCAATATGGTCCCAAATCACATTATGTGTTTGCCACGAAGAGAGAAGAGGAGGGCCAGTATTGGGTGAAGTTTAGCAGTCTCAGTTCCAGTTAGGATATAAGCATATAAGGAGCAGAGCAAATGCCCCTAGGCTCCTAATACAATACTGTGGAAACTAAAGCAATATAAAAAAATACTCAGCAGTAGGAACAGCCTTGAAATAATGGGAAGACTGAAAGAAGAAGGGAAAAGAAAGATGGAGGATAGAGGGAAGAGAAAATGAAATGAGGAAGGTAAGAAAGGAGAGTAAGAAAGATAATGGGAAATAAGAAGGGGGAAATAAAGAGAAGGCTATAGAAAGAAAGGAAAGGAAAATGTAATGCAGGTGTCTCAGGGTGCCCATTTTCTATCCTTAGGGGTGACTTTTGCTGCCTGGGCAAGTTTTGGATTCCTCTTTCTGGAGCTGAGGGTTTTCTTCTGTGTCTTCCTTGGTGCAGGGCTACCTGCTATTACTTCTAACACAGACGTTCCAGTCTTTTCTCATGCAGTGCCCAGAAAATGGGACCAGCCAATCCTTGTATCCTTTGGCTACTTTTGCCCATCAGCTTTCACCAGACAATTCTCACAGTTCTTTACTATAGGGTCAGCTTCTCAAGGAGCGATGTTGCCATTCACTTAGAGGACTCCTTGCAGACCTGCCTCTGGGACATCATCCTCTGTGGATGCCTCCTCCACCTGTGATGTGCAGGCCCTGCTTCAACACTCCCACCCAGGAACCCCATATCCCTGGCCCCCTCTTCACAGGCAGAAGCTCACCCATGATGCCTTCTTATATCTTGCCAGTTGGGGAAACAAGATCTCAAGTCTTGGAAGAAGATACATTGGTGGTGTTAACCTCCATCAGTAGCCTACAGAGAGAGAGAGATTATGGTTCATAAACAAGAAAATGAATGTGGACAACCCCTTTACCCTGCCCCTACCCATTAGAGCTGAAGACTGACTGATCCTCTTACTAGGTTACCCAGAAGTAATCACTGTTTGCAAACATCTGTTTTCATTGGCTTTCTGGCCCTGCCCTTGAGGGACCAGAAAACCACTACATGACCACTACTCTTCCTCTATGATTGTGCTGGAAAGCATGGGTTCTTCCTTCTCTTCCTGGGGGCTGGCCCCATTACAAGAAAAATGTCATTGTCAGTGGAAGCTTTCCTGGCCACCTAGGAGGAATGGTGCCCACCCAAGGAAGCTAGTTTTACTCTGAAGCTTCCTAGGATCTAAAGAACTGAGTGAATGCTAGTTCAATCCCCCATGGAAGGGAAAGAAGAGGGAAAAGGTGGGGATGTCGCCTATGGTATCATCTTAGTGAGAATTTAAGCTAAGCTTGTGTAGAACAGATTGTGTTCTTAAGTCTGTTTTATATTATCATCAACACCAAGGACAGTGCTATCTCCACACGGCTGGCACTTGATAATGCTTGTTAGATTAACAGATGAGAACATGTCTATTGTTTCTCAGCACCACATAGTTGAGATGAAAGCTTAAACATTTTTAATAACGAATTTATATTTTAAAAACTTCCAAGGAAAGGATTCAGTTTCAGATTTTTTCTCCCAATTGATTTATTCCTCCCTAAAGGTCCATTTAGTACAGTCCCCAAATGAAAAGGCAGTTTTGAGAAAGTCCGTTGCTGAATGTCATGCAGATGATTATGCAAAACGCAGGCTGCTCCCCAGGCCCTGTGGGGAGTTGTGAAAGATTCTGTTCCTGGAATAGGTACTCTTATGAGATTAAGCAGATGATGAGGTCAAATATCTCCACCAGTCCATGTATATACATGCAACATAAGATGCCCAAATTGGACTCCAGAGAGACTCCAAAATACTTGTCACAGTTAAAATTTTCCTTCCCTTAGAAAATTATATTTTTTACTACAAAATATGTAACAACCCATTATTGCAGCAATAATTTTCCCTTAAGTAATGACGTTTCCCTGGTCCCTCTTCTTTATGTGGTAGATCCAAACAAGTTTTATCTAAAGACAGTAAGAGGAAAGCAGAGAATAAACTTGAAAGATTTCAGTGAAAAACACAGTTCTCTTTGGATGTGAAGGAGAAGTATCAGCCAGCATTGAAGGAGGAAGATTCTACAGTGGAAGGGGCATGGAACCAGGAATCAGGAGCCTACATTCTAATCTCAGCTCCATCACTAAGAATCGGTTTTCCTCACCCGTCAAATCAAAAGGCATCAGGTGTTCTCTAAATTCTGCTCTCTGATTCCATGACTTGGAGTCTGTACTCATTGAAAGTACATGGAGATGGGAGTGGGGAGTAGTGGGAAATATTCCTGGACATAACATCTCAGCTACTAGAATGATCTTCCTAGCCTGCAATACGAAAAAACAAATGTTCTCTTTTAGACTTTTATCTAATTCTGACTTCAGGACTCCTGACTTAATTCCTTCTGAGGGAGTTAATTCCTAAGAGTCATCCAGGTTACCATTCAGCAACCTCCCCACCAATTTCTTTCTCACTTTTACTATTACTATGGCCACTATGGCTTTGGCCATTATTTAACTTCCTCAGGCTCTAAGCAGAGCCAACTCTAAACAAAGCTGGCTGAAAATTTGTTGGTGCAGTAGAATTTGTGGTTCAAGCAATATACTGGGGTTTCAGCAACCAGTTGTGGTGAAGTACTGCCACTTTTTTCGCCACCAAAGGTAATGGACCCAAGGATATAAAGTGGGTTCTATCTCAAATTCCATCATTTTTGTAGAGTTGCACAACGGGCTATGAGAAAGTTGCCAGGAGAGTGTGCTGTGATCAATCAGCAATGTGCTGTGATCAATCAGCAATGTCTGTCCTGAGGAAAAAGTCAAAAGTAAATACACACAGTAAAGGCATACATATCACTTATTTGCTATCCCTGGGCTGCTGGGCTCTTTGGCTACCAAACTGTGCCTTCTCGGTGATGAGACTACAATGGCAAGGATCAAATTCTTCCAGAGAAAACATCTTTCCTCCATCAGTGACGTTATACAAAACTCTTCTTCCATATTCCAGACTCTACCCAGGTTCTCCACCTATTTCAACCTGTGCTCTACCTCCTTGGGAAGCACATCACACATAGCGTTTCACATAATCTCATAAGATGCTATTTAAAAGAAGGCCCTTTGGTCTTACAGTCAGGATTCTCTGCGTGCCAAATTCAGCTAGACAACTAATATTTTCATCTAGTAGTTACTGAGCACTGATCATGTCACAGGGTCTGCTCTAAATGCTTTGCAGGTATCAAATTAATCCTCACAGCTCTACTTTGTCTGTTTCACAGATGAGGAAACTGAAACAAGGGAGCAACTGCTGGAGTCAGGATTCACGCTGGCAGTCCAGATTTAGAATCTGTTCTTTCCACTACCACTTGATGCTGCTTCCCGTTTCTATATTTATTGTCTGTATCTTTATCTACATATCAATTCTAAATCTATATTTACATATATATCTATATCTTAATGATTCACAAATCATGTTTGCATGTTAAAGGTTCTGAAAAATTTTTCTGTAAAGAAATCTCGTGCTGTTTAATTCTATGATTCTTTAATTTATTTGATACAAGGAACTCCCTACAGATACTTTTTTCTCCCTTTGCTTAGCTTCTGGTCACAACTCATATCACAGGATGTTCTAGAGCACCATGAGAATATCCTTCTGAGGACTGAGCTATAAAATTGAAGGATGAGACTCTTAAATCCTGGCCTCAGATTTCTGCTTTATTTGGACCAAATGTATAATTAGAAGACTCAAAACCCAAAGGAAGACTGCCTAGTTTTTCAAGTCCCAAATAAGTTTAAAGGGAGTCCCTAAATGAAGAAAACAGGATGGACTCTATCCCTGGATATCCAATTAATTGTTTAAGTAAGTGATGATAGATGACAGACAGATGAGTCAAGTCAAACCAAGAATAAACCAAGAGTAGTTGGTGAGCATTTCCACTTACATAAAATGAGAATCGTGCAGCATGGGGGAAAAAGCTTGAAATTCAAACTAAAGAGATTTGCATTTGAGTCTGAATTCAACCAATAGCAGAAACTTTATTCCATATATGGCCAACATACAATATTATGCCAGGTAGGTGCTCAAAAAACATATGTTGGTTTGAACAAATGTGTAATCTTGAGCAATTTACTTAGCATCCCTAAGCCTTAATTTCCTCATATATAATATGAAGATAACAATAACTTCGACTTCCAGGGTTGCTTGAAAAATTAAATTAGATGATATGTTTTTAAGCAAGTTTTAATTTTAAAGCCTTACGTAAACGTCAGCTGCAAGTCCTGTCATTATTAACAATAATAAACTTAGCGGGATTTGAAACACAGCCATGGTAGTTTACATCAGTTCCCTCAGCCACGTCTCACCAGACTTACACCATGAGTAGGAGATGCTGGTCAGCAGTAGGCATACAGGGATACACAGTCTCTAATGGAGCAAAAATTAAAAAGTAAGACCATTAAGGACAAAGAGGGACAAGCCCTCACCAAATTTGCTTCTAGTTCTGATGAAAAAGTTCCCCCCAAAATCCCTTAGATGTCAAGGCACTGGTTTACTGTTGATGCACAATAGCTACTCAATAATTGTTTGCTGAATTCACTAACTTACACATCTTGAGGTTACTTAAAGAAGTAGAATGCCTGTCGTCTTAACTTTCCCCTTTACTGTTTCCCAAAGTTAGAAAAAAGATAGAATTTTTGTGTAAAAATCCAGACACCAATCCCAAATCCATTCTGCTGTATTGCATTTTTTCGTGCCTGGGAAATGGAAGGAAGGGAGGAAGGAAGGAAGGAAGGGAGGAAGGGAGGAAGGGAGGAAGGGAGGAAGGGAGGAAGGAAAGAAGGAAGGAAGGAAGGAAGGAAGGAAGGAAAGAAAGAAAGAAAGAAAGAAAGAAAGAAAGAAAGAAAGAAAGAAAGAAGGAAGGAAGGAAAGAAAGAAAGAAAGAAAGAAAGAAAGAAAGAAGGGGAAGGAGGGAGGGAGGGAAGAAGGGGGAAGAAAGGAAGGGAGGGGGGGAGGGAGGGAGGGAGGAAGGAAGGAAGGAAAGAAAGAAGGAGAAGGAGGGAGGGAAGGAGGGAGGGAAGGAGGGAGGGAGGGAGGGAAACATTCCGCCAGTACCTCATATACCTGTAAAGACCATGAGAAACTCTTGGTTCTTCTTCCTGAACTAGCGTCTAAAGCTGCCCTGCCCAACACTGTAGCCACCAGCCACATGGAACCACTGGGCACTGAAATATACCTAATTCTGTGCTATGAGTGTAAGAATACATACCATATTTCAAAGACTTAGTATAAAAAAAGCAAAATACATCACTCATAATTTTTATAAGGATTCCATTTCAACATATTTTAGCTATATAAATTTTTTTGGCAATATAAAATATATTGTCAAAATCCATTTTATCTGCTTGCTTTTAGATCCTTAGTGCAGCTACTAGAGAATTTGAAATTACATACATGGCCCACACTCAGCAGCTTGTACTGTATAGTCACTGGACAGTGCTGCTCTGGAGCTATGACTGGTGAGTTTTGAGTTGTGGGTGGACCACAAAACCTAGTTAGTGGGTGACAACTTGTGTTTTCTTTAAGGAGAATAGAACAAACAGATTAGAATGCATGGCATGTGCAGGCCCATGGTGCAATCGAGAACGTGTCTGATTAGGGATCAGAAGATTCTAGAATGCATGGCATTTAGTAAAGGTAAATACCCTTCTGTGAAACTCTGGTTTCATATACAGATATACACACATACATATGTGTGTGTATATATATATATACACACACACACACACACACACACACACACACACACACACATTAGACAATAATTATAGCTGTATTAGGTATTAGGTTACAAAGTAAAATGC